AAATCTTTTGTTTTGAATTTTTTTTTAATTTAAAGAATCACTTTTTTTCTTTTTATTTCACTTGTTACTATTATTTATTTTTTAATTTGACCAGAAAGAGACAGAGAGAGAGAGAAAGGGAAGTGAGAAAGCAAGCTGCCAGGTCTGGGCCTTGAACCACGGTCAGTCATGTGTGAGCCTGTGCCTTAACCACCACGCCACCAGCTGCCCAGATTCACAAAAAATCTTAAACTGGGAACCAACAGTTAGCGTAATGGCTATGTCACTGGACTCCCACGTAGTCAACCACGGTTCGCGTCCCGGACCCGGTGGCTTAAAACTCACGCCAGGCGCGTGTCTGTGCATGCCCAAGATCCCGAGAGGAGAATGGAGGAGAAGGGATTGCGGCGTGACCATCCCTTCTGGGGGGTGATTTCTCGCTTTCTGTCTCTCTGTCTGTCTCTGTCTGTCTGGCGAGCGCACGCGCCCTATAGCGAAAACCTCTCAAAAAAAAAAATCTTAAACTAAAAGTATGGACAAAGCTAGAAACTAGTGACAAGAGTCCTGTAACTTTCTTCTGAAATATTTTTTTTCCTCTCCATTCCCCTTTACTAAAGAGAGATATAAACAAACTTATTTGCAAAATAAATAAATAAATAAAGGTTACTCTCAATTTGGTCTGTTATTTGCAGGAAGCCCCAGAAGAATTCAATTTCTGATGCAAGGCAACAGATACTATTGTATTATTGAACTTATGCAAATAACCATTCTGCCACAAAATAAGAATGCTCACAAATATTTTCCAATTGCACAGGGGTCAGGGAAGGGAGAAAAGTTTATGTTTCAATTAAAAAATTCTTTTTGGGGGGACCAGCAGTTAACGTAAGGGCTACGTCGCTTGACTCCCATGTAGTTGACCACAGTTCGAGTCCCACACCCGGTGGCTTAAACTCACACCAGGTGCTTGTGCATGTGTGCCCAAGATCCCAAGAGGAGTCTGGAGGGGAAGGGATTGTGATGTGGTCTTCCTCCTGGGGAAGATTTCTCACTTTCTGTCTCTTTGCTTCTCTGTCTTTCTGGCCAACGCACATGCCCTATAGCAGAAACCTCTCCAAAAGAAAAAAATATGTATTTCCCAACATCCCAATCAAACATCTCATCACATCTCTCTGGCTATCTAAATTTGTTTATTTTTATTTTTTTAATTTGCTATATCGCACATGTGCTTGTGGGAGAGAGAAAGAGATTGAGAGAAAGAGGTCTCTTTCGGGAATGACCACTTCATATTACTTTCTCCAACATTCTCATCTCAGGATTTGGGGCACACACACTCATGTACCTGGTGTGTTTTTCAAGTTGCCAGGTCCCAGGTCCCAGACGCAGCCAGCCATGGGTGGGATCTAGCTGTCTTAACTACTACACCACCTGGCCGGCCCTATTCAAATGTATTTAAACATGCTTGTCCCTAAAGCCAATCACTGGGAACAAGGTAGAATTTCTGTGAGTGGCACAGCCTTATACTAATCAGGTCCACCCCTGGGACTGGAGCGATCTACCTGATGTCATTGCCTCCTTGCAGTTAGAAGAGGGAGATGGGGATGGAATGAAGTCTACTAAGTCCTCACCAGTTTCTGCTGGGCAGTGTTAGACCCCACCTCGTGGCAGGAGAGCGGTGCCACTGCACGTGCCCCTCAGCAGTCCCCGTGCATAATGTTCTGGAAGGGCAGCACTTGTACACAGGGTGGAGACTTCATCTTAACTATAATCTTATGATTTATTTCACCATTGTCAGGACAGAGCCCAAATTTAGCCGATAACTTTCTCTTTCCCCTCCAGAGATAACTTTTTGTCCCGCATAGAAATAACTTAGAGTTGCAGGGAGACGTGCCTGTCCTCTGGGCGAGTCCAGTCTATGTCCACTGCACGTGAGTTCAGTACTGTTCAGAATGAATGGCCCTTGCTCAAGCTGGCCCAAAGCCACACTAAACAGGACAAAGGCTAGATTTATTATTAGTTATTTTTGTGATGTTCATTTTTAGAACAAGTTTTAGAACAATTAAAGGATAGGAAATAAGTATGATTTCTCCATGTCCTGTTCCCTTAGTCATCATTTGTACAGATTCATGCTCCAGAAACCTGGTCAGAGTTCATAGTTCTGTGCTCTTTAAATGGCCAGATACATCTAAGCCTGTCGTAGTCCTCCAAAGGAATCAATGTCTTACAGTTAATGAAAATCAGTGGCTCATCCTCGGTAAGACTGGGCCAGGTAGTGGTGCCACAGTGGCCACAAACCACACCTCCATGGGGAAGGGCCTGGGTTCACGTTCCCAGACCACCTAGAGCACACTGGGCACACATGTATGCCCCAGTCCAGGCCTCCTGGGACGGAAGGTGGATTGCAGCATGAGAGCCTGTCTCTATCTCTCTCTTTGTCTCTCTGTATTTCTCCTTCGGAAAAGATTATGGTCATTCAGTCAGTCGATAAAACATTTATTAGGCACTTGTTAGGTACTGTGTGAGGTTTTAGGGATGCTGTCATGGTGAATGAGATGAACCTGCTTTCTGCCCTGGAGATTTTAATGGAAAAGGCAGTTAATAAACAAAAAGATCCAACCACATAACCTAGTTTTAAGGAGCCAGATCCCACATAGCTGACTGCATGGTTTGAATCCTGACCCTGGAAGCTTGAAACACACGGGGCATTCC